CTCATGTTCGTGTAAGGTTATTTCATTTGATCATCGCGTTCGCAGGGTGCTGGTCGCATTTGCGTAGTGTATTTGTGAGGTCTTGAATAATTGCTCTTCGTGATCGCGAGGCTTGTGCCGCGATCACGATGAAGGAAGTTCATTGCTGGGAAGAAAGTTTATAAAACATTTCATCCTGATTTTGAGCCATTATTCCTCCATAGCTGAGTATTTTGAGAGCTCTTTGAGGAAAATTGAAAACGGATTCATGGAGAATTGATTGGAGGTAAGATTTTTGAACCTAAAACGTGATTCTATTGTGAAATTTACCTAGAAATTCATGGAATTAGGTTAAAAATGGAAGAACTAGGGCTTGGGATTTTGAAAATTTTAAATTAAGAATTGAAGGACCATTTGAGGTCGGATTTGAGAACTTTTTATATGTATGAACTTGGAAGGATAAGGAACCCGTTAATGTAAAAGTTTCTGAGTTTCAAGAAGTGGGCTCGGGGCTCGGGTTTTGGTAATTTCGGGATTTGTGCCCATTATTGATTATTTTTGCTTGGGCTTTGTTCCCTTAACATATTGTGATGTATTTGTTCTGATTTTGGATAGATTCAATGCGCGTGGAGGCCGATTTGAGGGGCAAAGGCATCGCGATCTAGAGATTTTGCCGGTTCGAGGTGAGTAATAATTGTAAATGATATCCTAAGGGTTTGAATCCCCGGATTCGCACATCGTAATGCTATATTGAGGTGAGACACGCGCTTGATGATGAGCGTGGGGTCGTTTACTATTGGGGATTGTGACTTTGTCCGTCCCGATTGACGTTTTTACCGCGTATTTAATTGAAACTTATTTGTTATCATCATTAATTGGACTGATTGCCATATTTTGACTTCGAGCCAACTATTTGAACCCTCCGGGGATTTTTATCACTACTTCCTCACTGTTTTGACCTACTACTTGAACTCAGTCGTACTGTTTTCCTCTGTTTTATAACTCAGCACTTTTACTCGGTTTTGAAACTAAAATGATATAGTAAATGATGTTTTGGGCTGGGAACTACTGTTTTTACTAATGCCTGAGGGGCTTATGTGAGTTCTGGACTGAGTATGGCCGAGGGCCAGATGTGAGGATACTAAGGTATTGGGCTTCGCGCCGCAGCAGAGTTATACTAATACGGATATGAGGTCGAGGGCCTAGATTTTGATGCCACAATATGGCTTGATATTGCGCTTGGACCGTAAGGGGCCCCTCCCGGAGTCTGCACACCCCTAGTGAGCGTCATCGACGAGATATATGGATCGGGCTACATGCCGCAGCGATATATGGATCGGGCTGCACGCCGTAGCGGTGCTGGTACTGTTCTATGTGTTTACTTTCTTTCATTTTTTTTCCATTATCTGTTGTTTGTACTACTTCATGTGATATCTATCTGATTGCCTGGCATTATCTATTAACTGAGTGTTGTGCCCGAGGGGCGGATTTTCGTGCTTATTTGCACTATTTATTTTGCACTCATTTGTGTAACCATTGAAAAAGTTATTTTTTAAAAGTGGTTTAAACTGAGCTAAGATTTTTTTCCAAGGATTTCACAGTTTCACTACTTTTACTCAAAAGGTTTTAGACTGCCCTATACAGCATGATGGTTTGTTTTACGTGATTTCTTACCGCTCAGTTATTATTTACCTTTATTACTTACTGAGTTGGAGTATTCACATTACTCCCTCCATCTCGTGTGTAGATTCAGGTTTTTCGAAACCCGGTAGCGGGTGTTGATTGCTCAGACGCGGAGTCATCAGAGTTAGCAAGGTGGCTGCACGACGTTCGTAGCACTGCTTTCTTCCTCTCATTTTCATTACTGTACTTAGTACACTTTTAACTATTTTTGTTGTATTCAGACCTTGTAGATGCTCATGACTAGTGACACCCGATGCCGGGCTTGTATATTAATTCCGCACCATTCTTTCAGACGTATATTATGAAACATTGTTCTAATTAAAGGTTTAAAAGATGACTCTTAATGATTAAAGGGTTAATGTGAGTGTTGTGTCGGCTAGCCTTATCTTCACGAGAGGCACCATCGTCATCATAAAGGGTTTAAAATAAATACTTTTTTTTAAGTTCTAAAAAGTTGTGGCAATAGTTAAATGATATAGTCACAGATTTATTAATATAATTGAATTATGTAGCTAATCCTTAGTTTTTTGCCACGAGTTGAAAATTACTATAGCTATAGTAACTTTTTAGCCACAATAAAATATTTAAAAGAAAATATTGTAGCTAAATGAATATAGTTTTTATTCATCTCCAAACCAGTACATCAATAAGAATACAAAGAGAGATCTATAGAGCAGCTATCTATACTTCTACCTATATAATGAAACTGTACAATTCCTTCCTATCTATCTATATATTTCTTCTATCCATCTTCCATCTTTCCCGTTTATTCTCTTGTTTAATACTTCTACCATTCGAACCTTGTATTCTTCCTTGATTTGCTCACACACCTTATGTGGTCTAGGCACTGAACTATTCCATACAACTTCATTTTTACATTTCCATACATAGTAGTTGGTTGCTGCTAAAGCTGCATATGCAAACTCTCTGCTCAGTTTTCCAACCATCTTCTTTGCCACTCTTCTCCATAATAGCTGTCCCTCCAAGTTTGTGACTCTGATTTTTAGCCATTCTAATATTATGCCAATACATCTACTGGAGAACTGGCATTCATAGAAAAGGTGTTGTTGCAATATTATACCATTCCACTCTCGCTTCAAGTTATTAAAAGTTGTGGCAATATGGGTTAAATTAGCCACATGTTTCTTGCTTTAATAGAATTTTGTAGCTAATCATTAATTTTTGCCACGAGTTGAAACTTAATATAACAACAATAACCTTTTAGCCACAATAAACCATTTAAATCAAATATTACTAAATAAATAACTTTGCTTCAAGTTCTAAAAAGTCATGGCAATAGTCACGATAAAATAATATAACCACGAATTTATTGCTATGATAAATTTTGTAACTAATCATTAGTTTTTGCCACAAGGTAAATTTTCCGTCACAGTAGCAATGTTCTAGCTACATTAAAAATTTCAAACAAAATTTTGTAGTCAAATAAATATTTATCTTCTTATTTTAAGAAAATAAAAATAGTTAGATAATAGTTACTACCATTTGTCATGAAAAAATCAATAGATACAAATTTAAAGTGACGATAAATTTACGAGTTTACTATACTTTAGTCGTACAGCTATGATTGTCATTGCAATAATAGTATTTTAACCACAATAAGTTATATTTCATAGGTGAATAACCTTTTTTCAATGACAAAAAAAAGAGTTGCTCAAACAATATCAAGTTATAAAAATTTAATTTTAACTATAAAAGTTATATTTTTCCAAAATAACATAAACTATAGTAATTATATATAGTTTGAAGTATTAATAAAATTTAAATATGCAAAAGTTAATTTTAATAAACCATTTGTATGCCTACTTGCAGCCTCTAAACTTATTAATTTGCTTTATTTATCAAACTCATATTTATTTTATTTCACCTTGTTAGTTTTGGACGTTAATTATATATATTTGGTGTAAAATTTAAAATATATTAACATTTGTGGAGAATTTATGTATGTCTGGTACTTAACTATTTTTTTTATATAAGTAGTTAGAGTAATTTCTTATATTTCAGTATTTATTTTTAAATATATCCTCATAAATTGAAGACTTTAAGAGTTTTTAATAAGTACTTAGAATAATTTCATATATCTAATGATTCATTTTTAAATAAGTGCTCATACATTGAAGAACTTTGTGATGGTTTTGGTGTATTTAATTTTGATAAATAACCAAAGCTACAAATACATATGAATATATTTAACACTACAAAAAATTTTACGGTGTTATAATTTATATTAATAGTTATATAATTCTGTTAAAACTATTTCAAAGAATTATGAAATTAATTGATACTTAAGTCCACGGGAAAACTAATTATATTATAATTCTTATTCAATATAGTGGAATTACAGCTAAATAATGTGTCGATGACCAATTTTATAGAATTTTAAAAACTATAATCTTGCACCAATTACATTTTACATTGAGAATTAAATATGATAAATATACATTTTTTGCCGCGAAATATCCCTTTGTGGCTAAAGTATAGAAGATAGCTACAAAATTGATTTATCATGGCAAAAGAATAAAATCATTAGCTATAAATATATATTCTTTGTGGCAAAATATTTTATTAATATAGCTACATCACAAAAAGTGGTGTAGCAATAAGTACTAATCCTTAGCCATGAAATATTAAAAAATTTAGCTAACTTTTAGTTACGCTACTTCTAGCTATGGATGCTACGGAAATTTTTTATGTTTAGCTGCAACGTAGTTCGTAGTTGTATATGTATAATCTTGTAGTGAATATCCATGTTTTCACTTTCTGAGTGTACTAATTTCATATCATTAGCCTTATTTTTCCAGCAGCCGCATTTGAATGTATATTTCTTTCTTCTATTAAAGCAAATTTTAAAGGCACGATGGAGTTTGAACCTTGAATAAACACTGATGGACCACTTCACCTTCGGAATTATATATGCTTATTTACGTATTTTTGCCTTTTATTCTTTTGAAAAGAAAATTATCCGCGCGATATTTTTTGTATATGAAGAAAAGTCAATAGTTGCTAAAAAAAACCTTTGTAACTGTTGACAGTATTGTTTGTAATGCTTCATTGCTTACTAAGAGCTTCAGTACTCACAAAAATTACTAAGAACAAAGTTTACCTTTTTCCAAAAAGTAAATTTCCTATTTGGCTCCACAAAATGTGTTCAATGAGTCAAGTGAAGTACTTTTCATTGACAAAAAAAA